TTGCCAAGAGTTCGCTGCTATATCTCGATATGAAGCAACAACCAGCAGGTGGTTAGCTTGGCTTAGCATGAAGACAGGAAACATTTAGCTTTAGCTGAGCTGGCCGACCACCAGCTCAGCTAAAGCTTACCAATGAATTTCTTGGAATTTGTTATCTTACACTTTGGTTTCTGATTGAACAAATATATTATTATTTAGTGAACATTAGATATACTGGTAGGTGGCTAGCAGTCCCGCCTGCTTCCAGTCTTTTTGCTAAGCTAACCTGTCTCATATTTAACCAAAAATGCTACAAATGCATATTTGAAATCCAAAACATGTACACATTAGACTAAAATGGCTTCAAGATACAAACGGAAATTTTATTCTTCAAATACTGAAAAACAGGAAGTTAGTCAATCGCTAAGATTAGAGTGCATATGAATGATGTTTATGGTTTGATCTTGATCTCAACATTATGCCATAGATGCTGCTGGATGAGCTCAGTTTACTTCATACGCACGGGATGTTTGCACATTGTGAGCCAACAAAAATGGACCTTCCAATTTGATTGGGGTCACTGTTGGGCTGTCTACATTAGCAGCAATTCACCTTGAGCCATTTTCACTATCCCCTTGCTAAAACTCTTAGGAAACATATGATACTTGTCCATGGAATTAAACCTAACCCACTTACAAAGTGGGACGCCTTGCTGAGATTTCTTTAGGCTGGGTAACAGATCTTATTTTTAAACTGTTTGTGAAAACAACCCCTGGAGTTTTCCCCTCTATTTTTTTGTAAATAAAATGTTCTTACTTTTCACAGCAGTCGTTGCAGTGATTAGAGGGTTTAGCAGCTAAATCAATAACATTAAAGAGCCCTATTGAATATATATTATTTTATTTTAAGTGACTCTTCCACCATCAATCTCAACCAAATATTTCTGCATAAATATCATGATACTATAGGACACTTGCAGCTTAATATTCATGTTTTTCATCATCTTTACAGCACAAATGTGAAAGCCACTGTGTTTGCCTTGGTTTTGTAGACCTTAAGGGAGCAAGAATATATGATTTGGTGGATTGTAAATGATAAAACAACTTATCAGTGTTCAGTAAGGTGTGGACTACAAAGCCTAACTGCAAGGCAAGGCATAGAGGAAGTTAAATATGTCGGTTAACAACAAACTGTCAGGCAGTCAGCATAGGTAATGTAGTTGACAGGAGATAGACATTAAGTTTACAGTTTTAAGAAAAGGCTGTGAAATAGCATTTGGACCGTTGAGATAAAATATACTGAAAATATAATTGATTACTTTTGAGGAAGTGATCCTATATTACTGTTTTCTATAGAGTCGGTTCTATGATACTCGTTTCTTCTGGATGATTCATGTTTCATATTTAATATGAGCCTGAATAATATTTATCTTGATGTTTGGATCCGTTTTTGCCTTTTCTATGGAAGCTTGCTTTGTCCTTTTATGTTGGAGTAACGGACAGTGTTGTCCTCTGCTGATTGGTGCAGTTTAAGAGTAGATTGACCATAAATCATATCACAACCACCAAAGTGACGAGTGTGTTTGAGTCCATACATATTTACACATGGCCTGCTCTGCTTTGTGATGGTGAACTGACAGAGATTTAAATATTGCTCTATTAAATATAAATAGCTGGGAGCTATCAGTGCAGTGTGCAGACATTTTGTCTGTTTGTTTTTTTGCCTTTGGTTTGCTTTTTGATCCAGCACCTGTAGGAGTTTCTTGGATGTGTGCACGCTACACACTGTTTGTCCTTAATCATCATAATCAGCCACAACAGCTGCAAGACTTGTCCAACAAAAACACCACAGCAGAGTTTTAGTTCAAACACAACATTTACTGTCAAAAATAAAATCTTATTGAGGAGCCGGCAGTATGAGACGCTTTAAAGTTGCCGTTATTGTACTTTCATGTGATCCAACAAAAACATTACATCACAAACAAAATACAGTGCTTGCAACTGATTATTTTCGAAACACAACATAAAGACATTTTGTGGATTCTTCCAGCACACAATGTTGTTTGTTAATGAGATCAAATATAATCATACTGGATTTCAATTGATGTCATTGGGGTTGAGGTTCATATTAGGCAGTTGACAGTTTTTGTTCACTGGACATAGAGCTTTGAAATTGAACTCTTCATGAACTAAATATGCATTTCTTTATAAGAATTCATACAAACCTTTTGTCAACCTTTCAGAAATTGATATCAGTATTTCCTTGACTTACAGGCTTCCTAATGAATTATTTACATCATGTTGGGCTTTTAGATCCTGTCAGTCCTCACACCGACAGCTCTGTATCTCCATCCACTTCTGCGTCCTCTGACAGACAAGCCTTTTTTGTTTAATCAGAGATTTTAAGGAGAGTCGGCTGGAGTGCAGAATCAATCATTCAGAGAGGCGTCGGACAGGCTCTTTTCCTCACGATGCTTTCATTGCTGTTAAGCCTGTTCCAGGAGAACTTGGTACATTTCTGATTTCAGAAATCGCGGATAACAGTCGTTTTCCATCAGACTGTATATCAGTCTCTGCGCCCTGTCAAAGCAATTTGGCTCCGGCTGAGAGAGATTTTCCATGATTTCTTCCCTCGTCACACAGTCAATGTTTATCTGTGTTCAAAAAACAGCAACTTTTATTTCACTCATGAGTTCTTGATATCTGTTCAAAAAGTTAACCGCCTGTTCAAATAGTAAAAGAAAAAAATATGTAGCACTGAGCAACAAAGAAAGTGAATGTGTCCGATAATAGGCACTTTTCACAGAAGACATTTGGAATTGCCATCGTAGGAAAAGCACAAGTGTAAATAATTAAATGAATGACCGCTGAATCTCATTTAGGTGCATTGATTCCAGGTTCCTGGTATCATGCAATGAGACTAAAATAGAGAAGTCTCAGCAACATATTATTAAGGTAAAACACACGCCCAGTAAAATCTGGACTCCAGCCGAAAGGCTCAATAGCTGACATGCAATCACAGAACACTTTCACTGAGGCGTCTGCAGAATTGCAATTATTAAAAAAATATTGAATAAGGAACATTTACAAATGCTTTATTTTTTTTGTAAAATGTTCTGTTTTATATCGGCTGCTATCTATTTGAGCGTTCCCAAAAGGTTCTGTTCGGCCGAGCACAACCAAACAGCACCTGAGTGGACACCATGCCTGTATTTGTATCGCCGTTTTGCTGTAATCTCCAACATCGCAGCTCCAGTTACGTTGCATATGTGTCATACCATATACGTAGCTTCCATGGGGTCAGAGACATGGGCTGAGGTCGAAGATTTTGCTTAGGAAGGTTCCTTAATGAGCAAAGTATTTAGGTAGTAGCCAAGGGCTGGTCTAATTCTCTAAATGCGAAGGAAAAGTGCTTCAATGCTTCCTTCAGCATAGGATACACTGGGCCATCCTGGGCCAAGGAAAAGAGATTATGCCATCCAACAATTTCATGCGGCAGCAACATTTAATGCAATGCTTTCTAATTGTACATTAGGGATGAATTAAAACATCCTTCTAATGCTGTGGTCAAGTAACAAAAGCTACCAAATGGCTAAGCATGACCAGCTGCATTGTCGCAGCTGAAGTGTTGCTCAAGCACTCGATGTAGCTATGCCCTTAAATAGCAGTGGGAACTGGCTAAAGGAACCTTTTTTTTTTTTTACGTAAATGGGTGAAACAAAAATATATGATTTGTTGACGCATCGCTTTGTCACTGGAGCACTGAAAAAAGTTGAGACCAGCTCATGTCAAGCCTGTCACACCACACAATAAGTGTCATTTTGTAGCTACTTGTCACAAACTTCCATTGAAAGTTATTTGTAGCCTGTTGCTGGGTTGCTCCTAGTGTGAACACAGCATTAAGGGTGATTCTATTCTGGACAGGAGCGATGGAACAATTTATGGAGGTCAAGGAAAAGTGTTTGGTAAAAGACATCAGACATGTCTTTTTTTCTGACCATTTGACTGCAGCCCATATGTCAGCCTTCACTTAATAGCCTCGGTATCGTGCTTGCTGGCTCACTGTCGCTCTCGCTTCAATAAAACGGAGCCATTCTAACACCTGTGCTCTTCCTACTATGACAAGTAAAAATGTCTGCAGCGAGAAAGGCCTATAATTGTATTTCATATTGGAAGTGAATGAAACTGTGGAGGCATAACAGTGACAAAAAGCCGACTAGCAATTGAGGGTTCTTTGGAGACACACAGGTCTGACTTAATTCATGTCTAACTTAACAAAAGCCTTACCTGTCTCGGCGCATCAACTTGGACAAACTCTGCGTAGATCTTCTTGGCAGCCACCGTCATTTCTGTAACTCTGGTGATTTTCTTGTAGTTTTCACAGGCCAGCCAAAATAAAAGGTTCTCCTCACTGTATTCTGTCCTCAAGAAGTCCTCAAACACCAGCTGGCCTGCTGCACAGAATAAGCAGAGAGACTTTAAAACCAGGACAGTTTCAATTCAAACACTCAACCCAAGTTGAAATAAGAGGGCTGGTCCACCATAATCCCTTTTTTCTGTTTTTAATCTTCATTACAGGGTGTCTTGCTTGCAACAAAATATGCAGTTATAACAAATACTACAGTGGAAACATAGGCTGGAACTGGTTATCTTGTTGTGAAACCAAATCCACTGTACATATGCATTTAATATGCACATACTATCTTTAATCACCCCCAGCTCTCTACAATTAGGGCTGTTCATTAAACTCTCTTAACTGCAGAAACGTGCCTTGAATTGCTCGTCTCATCCTAATGAATGGCAGCTGTTCATGTGGAGGTGTTTGTGTCATTTGCATAACCAACGACCCTAAAATTGCCATACAAGGCTTCTAGTTCCGCTCCATTTGTGGGCAATTCGCAAAAATGTTATCAAAGATTAAGATGACTTCAAAGCTTCCGAACACCCACGCAGGTGTTGTCCGTTAATCTGGCTGATTAGACCTCTTCTCAAGACTGGAGACTAATTGAGTGTCAAATTGCACCTTTATTATCCTTAATGGTCAACGACTGATTTGTGAACTAATACATTCTCATCATACATCCACCTACCTTCAACCTGAGCAGAGGTCAAATCAGCCAGGATAACTTTAAAACATCTGTGTGGTTGTTTTTAAAGCTGGGCTGAAATCAGCAGACAAGTTCAGCTGAGTAGTGGTATTAGATGATCCGAAACAATGAGAGTAGAGTGCAATACATTTTACATCAACACTGAATGGACATTGACATAAAAGGTGCCAAATATCCCCTCTAAACTAACCTGCTCTTTTTAAGAAATCTGAGTATATTATGGTAAAATCACAAAAGCAATGAGCCATAGCTAAAGGTTAAGCCATTCTGTTATCTTTTCCTCACATTCTCTCTTCCTCGACATAGTACTTGTTAGCTCAAAGAAGTCAGGGAACAAAGAGACGGTGCAGAAAGCTGCCAGGTGTTGTGGTGGATGTCAGGAGGCGCTTTTAACTTCAAAACCAAACGCAGCATCCCGATGTGCACTGCCTCAGCATCACATAATTGCACACACCTATATTTCCTGTATTTTCTCCTCGCACCCCCGTTACCGTTGATACGGAATGTTCACGGAGTTGTGTTTCTCACGCAGGTGTAAAATACTTAGCACGTCTTCTGGGAGCACAAACAAACTGCTAACTGGGAGCACCGGTGTTATTCACACAAATTGTTTGGCATAAATCACAGCCGGTGCTCCGACAGTAATTGACAGGAAACAAAATATGTCCAGGGGCTGCTTGTTCCCCGGCTACAAATCACTCTTGGCCCATATCTAAGCTTTCAATCATAACAGAGTCGACCCTTCAACATCAGACGAGACGTAAAGGTATATGAATGCCATCAAATTGCAGCTGCCACATGCACAGCTATTTCTTTTTTGCTACTGTTTACCGATTTGTCACACGTGCCACTGCACGTCTACAAAGGTAAATGGAGCAACTGGGATGTAAGGTAAAATTTATCTTCTGGAGGACCGTTAATCTTCAGGCAGGAGACAACAGGCTGAAATATTACAGATCAGCTGAATTCATTTCTGTAATGTTATGAGAGAGAGAGAGAGAGAGAGAGAGAGAGAGAGAGAGAGAGACCATCTGCCCCTTTAGTCATTTTCAAATAGAGGCCGGGAATGTGGTCAGGTGAAAGGCATCAGTGAGTGCTGGCTTTTTAAATGAATGACAGCTGGCTGGAATCACCCCATCTACCCTGGCAGCTCAGATTAGGCCTCTTATCTCTGCCAGTATCATTCTCCTTGAATATATCTCCAAATGGATTTGATGAACTTGAAGGGAGAATATATCCTCGGTCCTCCTCAACAAGCCCGAGGGCAATTCGTGATGATATGCGGGGCCGAGCAGCGGAGAATTAAGAGTGCGAAAAAGAGAGAACGGAGAACCGAGAGAGCGGCACTTTGACAAAAGAGTGAGAGGAATAAATGCAGCACAAGTACGCTTACTTTTACACTCCAGAAGATGGTCGATTGACTCTCCCCATGCCACGACATCATCAACGGGAGCCCTGCAGAGCAAACATGTCATAAAATATACAGCTTGACAAACAGGTGACGCACATATAGTGCTGAGGACACAAGTGAGAACTTGAGTGAGTCATTTCAAAATCCAATTTTCTATCCACGTATCACATCAGAGCCATTCATCTTTAATGTTATCATCTGTTAACGTTTTAGTGAAAAGTCATTTTTGAACTTTAATCCAACATAGAAAATGTATTAAAAATATGGACGGCAAACCTCATCTTGTCACATTTCTAATTGTAGAGGATGAAATGAATGACAACTCACATATTGGCTCTTAATTGAGTACCAGGTATCAGAAAGTTAGTGTCGACTGGAAGAGGGTTCCCTCCTGACCACAGTTGCATGAAATAGATCATAAAAATAGCAATTCAAAGTTATTTTCTTTTACATTCTGTTTGGTGAGGGAAGTATGCAGATATTTTACTTAAAGTACAAACTACTTAGTATTTTTCTATATTGACAATGAGTGTTGTCAGTGACAGGCTAGTGTTTCTCTGATGCTATATACATTAAGCAGCTAAAGAGCCTTTTGTCCTCAATAGTTGGTGGAGACCAAAGCCGAGCTAAAAGAAGAGTGAATATTGGATTTACATCTATCAGGCAGCTTCAGAAACACAACTTCAAATACACAGTGGTGTTGCTTAGTGTCAACATCATTTAGAAGTTGATAATGGGTCAATGCTGTCTTTACAGCTTGTTCTGCTGCTCCAAAGTGGCAAAAGAGAACTAATGCAGCTACACATCCAATTTACACCACACAGTAAATGCAGTGAGTTAGTTGGTAAACGTAGCATAAATTAAAAGTGAAATACTGCATAATTGGTGAAGGAGTAAATGATTTATTTCCATAATTGCACAAAACAGTTTTCAAAGAAAGAAAATAAAATGTGTTTTAATGGGCACAATGGCACATAATGGTCCACCTTGATGTTTAATAACATAATATTTTTAGAATATTATGTGGGAATCACCAAAGCCAGACTGGGTTCACCAAACTTTACTGACAATCCCATTTCTGTAAGTTTAATAGTAGCTTGTCTGCAAAGAGTTTTATGTCAGATTTACGTATGTCAGCATGGCAGCTAACAGCCAAACTATCCCCTTGTCATTAGTCTGCTTGTTTGGAAATCCTAAATTAAATGAAAATTTAATGATCCCTGGGTAAACTGGGTCATTGCAGCAGAAGCAGAGAATCAGATAAGAATAAGTCAGAGCAGCAGATGTAATACAAGGAATTACAGCGAGTGAACATTCTGAAGCAAGTGGAGCAAATAAATAAAGAATTGGCATCTCCACTGACAGCCTCACGGGCTCGAGCGGAGGTGCGAGAGCTGTTCACATAATCTGATGTGTGGACAGGATAACAACTATGCAGAAGATGTTTATGACGTACACAACCATGCATTGTAAGCAGAAAGATACAGCAGCTTCTGTACGTAGAGAGGTATGACATTTTTATCTCACATTTGTGGCAACTCACCAGAATTGTAAAGTTATTTTTAAGTACACTGCTTGTATGAATGTTATGCTAATAACATAGGAGTTTTTAAGGAATGCAATGAGGGCTGGCTGTGGGTTCACAAACTCTGACCTGATCATTGAGCAATCGATGGGCCACATGTTGAAGCAGGGGTCTGCATGTTTAGTGCTCCAGTTCTTTGGATTTGAACAGATTTAGCTCACTTGCCTCGAATACTGTCCTCCTAAATCACTGTATTCCTAAAAAAAAGGGCCTCTTATTAATGAGAAATAAAAAAAAAACAAATTGCTTGACAGTAGTTTGTCCAAGGAAGTTGAATGGAAATGCTACAAAGTTCTGACAGTTTCAACAGTACAGCTTTGAGCTGTACTTTTACAAGATGTGTTTTGAAAAAGTCCCTCAGAAGTAAGGGACAAGGCGTCGGAGGAAAGGCTAGCACATTCTAATGTAGCCACACTTTTTTTTTTTTGGATTGCATCATCTAGAGCGCCGAGCACATTCAGCTCAAAGAATTCCCACTCATCTATGAACTTTTTTCATGTTTTCTTAGGGAGCGAAGGAAGGAAGGCGAAGAGAGCTGGAGGCATACTGAGAAGTACAGAGAACCACAGAGGGAGAAACTTCCAAAAACAAAATGGCACAGATCACAGGAGCCCCATCAGAAACACTTGCTAATAAACTCAGAGACGAGAGAGAAGCATCCGCAAAACACATCCCAGTTTTATTTTAGCATTTCCCTGCATGGGCAAGATCTGAGAGTCTTTCGTTACCGAAGAACAAGACAGACCGGAGGGGAAGTAAAACATTCATAATGCTCAACAGTGTCAAAATCCTCAGCGCCAGATAACCAGATTGTCCAAAGTCTCGAAGCCTAAAGCCAATTTTGAGCTCATACTTACAACATGTGTTTGCTGTTGCCAAAAAAAGAGACTTTTTTATCGGATATGCGTGCAACAACACACTCTGATCCCTTCGCTGTTCGGGCTTCTTTTCCACTACTTGGCAAACCAGGTGCAAGCCCATGCATGTTGAGCTGAAGCACAGACAGGCTCGCAGTTAACGCAAATGTCAGCTTTTGCTCTTTACTTTATAAACTCAAACTTCCTTCCCTGAAAATAAGTTTTACCTCATCATGTTTGCTTTAAAAAGCCTTATTTGTTGCCTTCCGTGGTTTGAAGACTTTGTATTCTGAAGAAAACGACAGAACAAATCTTATGAAAGTTTAAAAAAAAGACATGACGGCACAGCTTTGACAAACCCTGTCTGGCCTGAACATGTGTGTGGCTTGGATTTGGATGTTGGCCATTGAAGATATTAATGTATCACTGGATGTGTGCAGTTCTCAGAGAAGTGTGCATATTTGACAACAAGGTGGCAAGGTCAGCATAAAAGTAGAAGTAACATTTTTTACACCCATAGGAAGTACAACAAATGCACACAGAGTCTACAAGAGTAAAGGTAAAAAACATGTCATTCAACGGTTACTTAAATGTTTGGTTGACGTACACATTAGCTCCATGCAGCTTGTAAAACTAGGTAACTGGTTAGCAGTAAAACATAGACAAACTAAACCAAACTAAATTGTAGTATACCTACAGATCATGCTCCAACAAAAACATTTGGGGACAATAGTTTTGGTCTCAAATATAATATATGTTGTTATGCCATTAGGGAGAAAGATTGATATTTAAATCCAACACCCTAACAAATACACCCTACCCGTCAGTGCTACAGTTTTAGTCTCTTTCACTCCCTGGAAGAGTGTTGTAGGGCTGTAACGAATAGTTCACAGCTTCAATCATAACGTTGACATAAGAATCCTGTAAAGTTGTTTTTTTAAAATCTTTTTTGCATGTCTATCACTCAGTCTAAACCCAGTATTTCTGCATAGTTGCAGGTAAAATATCAGGCCATGTTCATCAGTGTTTCCCCTATATTCATGAAGCAGCAGCTACTGCTATCATTATATCTTCTGCTCTTGTGTTTCTGTGTGCAAGATCAGCAGACTGTTAACGTAGCAGCTGTCCACACACAAACACAAATGAAAGATTTTGTTTGAGGATTTTTATATTTTTATTTGCAAATACAACTTGACGTTGTTTCAATCACTTTTGCACACCGACTCCGTAACTTTGGTCCCACCATTAATAAAGATTTTGGAACCGATTCATTTTTTGACCACTCGGAGCCACCGCCCATGCAGATGTCATCATCCAACATGGCAACATTCACTTTGTCTCCCAGCACAAAGCGCTTTACAACTGACAAGGTAAAGAATACAGAGATGCAGTATTTTAAGATACATTGTGGCAGGTGATTGATTATATGATTCCATTTTGTCTTGTATTGTAATTTTTGCACCAAATAGAAGAATCAAAAACATTTCACTCTGTGCAAGGTTGTTGTGCATAACTGTTTTTATCGGATGACTTAAAGTGTGTTTTGTCTCGTCAGTCTTGGACTTTGTCAGTCATTGGATTTCACCTTGGTTGTTTAGACTAATGCTCTGCTTCTTTATCTGCACTTTTAGTCTAAATAAGCTGAAAAAGACATGTCATGGTTACAGGGTCAAGAGTAAATGGTACTTGAATCTGCGAAGGATAGCAAAGCAGGTGCTCCAGAAGCATAAGTGAGTAATATGTATTTGAGAAGGGAAAATAATTGTTTTAAATTCAAGGCACACCGCTTTGTGAAAACACATTTGTTCACATGATTATGAGGTTAACAGGTAGCCCAAAACCATATTAGCTGTATTTCTCAGAGTTAGTTTGACATATATTTTATTAATGCTTTAGTGATTTGTTTGATTGCTGAACGCGTTGTGATGACCTCATGGTTGGATGTTTTAGTTACACCTGTCAGTGGGCTACAGGTTGATGCAATGCCTTGGTCACTACCAGGCCATTACACAGACAATTTGACATGAGATATCAGTAAGCAATATAGGAAAATGTATAAATATTTTAAGGACACTTTGTTTTTCACAATAACACTTTTTAGTCTTTGGCATTGTTATTGCACGTTAAATGAATGGTGTGCCATTTATAGCCATTTGGTAAGACTGCATGACAGCCAGACTTGAAACACACAACACACTGACCTCGACACCTTTCCATTGCGCCTTGCTACAGAATGGACACATTTCTTACTGCATAGACACACACAGTGTTGGCATTGGAAGTAATGTCAGTTGCTCAATTATTAAAATATAGATGTAATTCCTAGGTTCACAGTCCAGAATTCTACTCTATGGAGTTTTCCCACCAGTCTGCTTCAACAGGGTAACTCTACGTCATCTCAACTATGGTATATTGGATCTTCTTTACTGTTGCAACTTCACTTTGTGATTCAGTCAGATAACAATGCTCTAGGCCTATTTTTACTTATAATTCCTGCCTTTTATATCTCTAAATTGATCACGCCAGAAGTGCTTTGCAGGTATTGCAGGATTGTTCTATATTTCATGGTTGCACTACTCACCTCTGGCCCTATATTTCCTCAACATGTTATTGGGATCTGTTTCCTCTACATGAACCCAGACATCTTTACAGGGAAGAGAGGGCTTTTTGACACAGTTCACACAGAACCCCCATGAGCATCAAACTCTCCAGAGACAACCAGCGGCAGAAAGGAGCAGATGCTCAAGTGTCAGGCAGAGGTAGGGTGCAATGTCCTCATCTAACATAGTGAGCGAGAGAGAGCGAGGGAGAGGGAGAAGGGGAGAGGGATGAGGCTATGAAAATGAGTGATGGGAGCGCAAATGGCAGAGCTGTGATCGGGAGGAAAAAGGAGGGTGGGAGTGTGGGGAGACGGGGGACAACACTGACAGCTGAGCGGGCTTACCTGTCCGCCTATCTCTCGTTTTTCTGTCTTGATTTGCAAGTCCTCGACGGGACACTTAACCGGGGCCGGCCTGGAAAACAAGAACAGGTGTCATAAAACACCACTGCGACTGGGATTTGCATCTGTAATGACCCCACTAGAAATGCTGAGAGTATGATGTTTTGCAACCAAAACCTGTCAGATACGCACTCTGAGTGGTATTCATCACCAACTCAGCTGCAAACTATCGGCCGTCCTATCACTTAACGATGATGGAAAATCGCTTTTTTGTGTTCTCGACACAATAACGCGTTGTTTATCTTAACGTTTTCCTCAATGTCTGCAACTTTCTGTTAATCTGTGGCAGAATAAGACTTGCATTATTTTATTTTAAGTCACCTGGTTAATACACTGGATAGGTAGGCCATTGTTGGAAAAGATTTCACGGTGGCTGAGTGTGAGGGAATTAGAAATTCAATCACTTCCACAGGGGACTCACACATCCGAGCTTCCCTGATACCATCAAATATGTTTCATATTTATGACCAGACACATGCAGGGTACTGAACACGTCCTTCAGCGTGTGGAGATCAGAGATTCAGCTCAAGATCTATAGCTGCAATGAAAGCCCAGGGAACAGTGAGATGAAGAGGAATTGTTGCATGTATTATTGTCTGGTGAGGCACAGGTAGTGTAGGGTACGTTATCTCAAGGTGGCAGCACTGATTCACGGTCCAACTTGGGTCAGTGTGGTGTTAGCGTTTGTCTGCATGAGCATCCCAACTGTTATGGGTTTGGTACTGTTCTTATGTAATATTGTTATATCCCATTTGTGGGTCACACCAGAAGGGTAAGCCACTGTACAGTGAAATTGTAAAAAAAACACTGCACACTCCTTTTCCAGCTCCAAAAGACAGACTGACAAAGTGAGTAGCTAGCTGGTGAACGGTGGAGCGCTTAGCAGTCACACAGTCATATATTCCTCCGATGAGTTTGTTGGGACCAAAACAGAACAAAGTAGTGAGTGAATACTGGACTTACATTCATCAGGTCAACCAGAAACATGACTCCAAAAGAAGGCTAATTTCTGCTCTATGTCTGCTGTGTGTGTGTGTGTGTGTGTGTGTGTGTGTGTGTGTGTGTGTGTATATATACACACAGGCAATCATTTGCTAACATGCTCATCTTTATACGATTTAATCAGTGTGGTATGTACAGCTTGTTACGCTGTCTGACATGAATGAAAATGGCATAAAAGGCACCCAACTCGTGATATTAACTAAATATATTCAAAGCTTAATTCAAGCAAAAGCACTTGACCATGGGCTAAGTGAATGAATAAGGGCAGCTATGTGAAATGTATTCACAACAATTTCAGCTACATTAAAATGTATTACAATTCAGATACTGCTGCGGGCGTTAAATGTGTTTTTGGTTTGTAGATATTAAAATAGTTTGGATGACTTCCATTCCTAAAGCATTCAAATTAGAGTTTTTACTGTGTGTGTGTGTGTGTGTGTGTGTGTGTGTGTGTGTGTGTGGGCCTGGGCCAGATTTACCCATCTTGTGGGGACATCAATCTATTTACATACACATTGTGGGGACTCACCCTCCTTATGGGCACAAATTGCACATTCCCATAACATAAAGCATTACATTTTAAGGTGAAGACCTGGTCTAACATTAAAGAAAGGGTTGCTGGTAGCGGATAGGGTTCAGGTAAGTCTTTTGACTTTTATGTAAGTCAATGTAATGTCCCTAAAAGTCACAAAAGCATGACTGTGTGTTTGTGTATATCAACTGCTGCAGGACCCTATTTATGAGATACACACTGCACAATGGGAATATGATGAAGAAGTTGTGGATGGGGAGAACATCTGTTTAAAAAGTGTGCATCAAGGTCTGTCCTAAATAACCCACCTTGATAATTACACTTTACGTAACAATGTTCATTTACATAAACCATTATTGTAAGATGACAATAATTTGTTTGGTGAAAGCTGTGGGAGGGCCATACACGGCATAATGATGACCTTGGCTCAAAACAAGCCATTAAAAGCTCCCCATAAAAGCAATTTGTCAAGAGCACTGTCAATGAACAAATAATAAAGTCAATATGAATGCAGCTGGCTATGCTTTCTCATTATTAAGTGCTGTATGTTTAATTAAGCTTGTGTGAGCTAATTAAGAACAGAGGATGCTGTATACTGGGACCTGCTATCCAAACAGCAAAACTAAGTCTTTTGAAATACTTAAAAAAAAAAGGTATTTTACATGTATGTCCACAATTGCACAAAATAAATCAGTATAAAACAAAACATTGTTTAAATTGTTGTTACAAGCCATCTTATGTGACCCCACATTCACTCAACCCCAGAGACAAAAGGTTGATAATAGGAGGGTCTACTTTATAACCAAAGAATTACCTCAGAGCCATTTACAAATATTTGAACTGGCAACAGAGACTTCCAGAGACCGTTTAGCTCCCTGCATGTTCATGGCCAGTTCTTATTTGAATAATGCCAATGCAGCTCATACATACTTAGTAGATGATTGACTATTCTCTATGTATTAGTCTGGCGTTGCTTGTCCCCTCTGTGGGGTTAAATACACACGTTTACATAAAGCCGACCCATACAGAGCTCATGCTAACTCAAAGTGTTTAGCAAAATCATAGCAAAAATATCACCAACCATGATTAATAAATGAGACATAACACGACTAATAATGGTTACTCCCTGTGATTGCAGTTGGAGAGTGACTCACACATTTGATCAGCCTGCCTCGCCACTGTTTGGCTTACGGAGCTTACTGGGCTGGCCCTGTTCACAGCTGAATTGCGAATGGTATGTGGTATAAAAAGGCAAGACGATGACAAAGACAGCAAGTAACACACACATAAAAAATACAAACTAATTGAACCATGTACTTCTAGGGGGAAATCTTGATGCCGCAGACTCTGAAAGTGCATCTCAGGGGCCTTTTGCTGGAAAGCTGTAATGCCATTCTGTTGCAATAAAATAAACAAGCAATACCTATGTGGAGCATTAAAGAGTGGTCTATCTGAACTATAGCTGCTGCTCTGAGGAGCAGGACTGGAAACTTGGATTGTAAGTGACATAAATAAAGCTCTGTGTTGAAGCTTTTACATCTCTTTTTTTATGTTTCCTGTACAATACAGCTCCACTGTGGGGAGCTGTGTCTCTGTGTCTGCTCTCTCTCTCTCTCTCCCCCCCCCTATCTTTCTTTCTGCCTGTCTATCTTTCTCTTTGTCTTACTCTCTCTGGCACATAGCATCATATGCAGTGGCTGTGGGCCGTTGTTGCGCATGTTAAAAGCTCAGCTGGGAAGTCTGAATCCCTTGGACTGATGCTCTGTGGCCTCAGTGTTTCACAGCTCTGTAGCTTGGACCGACCATCTGGGTAAGGGGTGGAGGAGGTGGTGTGTGAGTGATGGAGCGTAGGCGTCGGGCAGACAGGCATGTGTACGTAGGTCTATTTGTGTGTCTGATCCTGTGCATGCATGCGTGTTAATTTATTAATTTACATTCAACATCGTGCAGAGTGATACAGCTATCAAAGCGAGTCTGGTACATTATACAGGTGTGTATGGTGGTAGTTGGTGTGTGTGTGTGTGTGGGCGGATCTCTGTTGATCTTTATGTATAGGCAATGATCCTCTACAATGTGGGAAGTGCTTGAATTGGAATGAAAAGGGTGCTGTAACTCTAAATTAGCAACGGTGCGGCATTGCAGCTTTTATGGGTAAGGAGTGGTTTCGTCTAGTTTAAGAAGATGAATGACGGAATACAAGAACGAGGTGGACGGCAATTATAGCATTTCATTTTCAGACACACCTTTCTCCAAATAAAAAAAAAAAGGTACATATTTATTCCTTGACATCTTTGTAGTTGTGTGTGATCTAATGCGACTGTAGCTAAGTGGAGAGCAGAGCCGTCATTCAATCAGAGGATCGGCGGTTCGATCTCCGGCTCCGTTAGTCGCATGCCGATGTGTCCTTGAGAGCAAGATACTTAACCCCAAAATTGCTCCCGCAGCTGTGCCTACGGTGTAGAAATGTGATATAATCTGAATTGTAAGTTGCTTTGGATAAAAGCGTCTACTAAATGACTGTAATGTAATGTCCTCCTTCTCCTGATTTCAAATTAAAACTCTACTCAACCTATAGAAACAACATGTAGAAATAATAAAACACCTCAAGTAGGCCTTTAGTTGGTCAAATTTAAACACACAGGGTCTGTAAAACTAACTCTTTAAAAACCAGATTCTAAATAATAAACTAAGAATACATGTCAGGGCAGATTCAAACGTTGAATGTAGGGAATTCAGTACAATGGGATATCAGAGACAAAAGAAAGAGGCTTAGATTTTGTCCAACAGATGTCTCGCAAAATTCATAGAACTGGTTTGTTTGGGCAGGACAAAGAAGCATCTGAGCCTGATAATTGAAAGAGTGCTCAAGCGATTAGGCATTGCACCTCCATTAAGTTTGGGGGATCACAAGAGACAGTTTAAAACAAATAGGTGCAAATATATGTTGACTTTCAGCCTCTTATAGCATTTCTTTCAGAAACTCGCTTTGTAACCCTTTATTTGTGTTAAAATGTGCATTCGCCAAGCCCGTGCAGAGTGAAATCTATAAGCAACTTATTGCTTGTTTTCATATTAAAAGGAAACCTGTGGTGTTTTTTTTATCCTCTAGTAGCACTATGGAGCATTTTGTTTCTCTGATAGAGTCCCTTTAATGCATGCACATGTATGTTAATGGTGTCGTTTTTTCCCACTGACCTACAGGTGGCGGCAATGCTTGTAAGATTAAAATCATTACGTCCTTACAAAACTGTTTTCACAGGCTTAATGGTACACCCCCTGACTGGATGCCGACATATACGTAAACAGTAGCCAACATAGTAAGATAGATAGTCACACACATACATACGGTGCAATAAAATAAAAAGAATCACCACTATGCATAGTTGTCATAGGCAGCAACATGTGCACACGCATATATACTCAATACATTCACTCACTGAAAGTTCACTCACAGAATACAATATTCCTCTCCAGTGCTCCCCTCATTATGTCTTCTCAGCAGCTAATGATCTTCACTTTTATATACCCAACAAAGAGAAAATGCTATTCTGCAGACAAAGTCTTACAGTCTACAGTACAAGACAAAAACATCGACTTTGTTGTGCGTTTTCCGTTTTCCCCCGACAAAGAAAGAACAGAGCGGAAAAAATGGGCCGGCAGCAATTAAAAAGCCAAATTTCAAGGTTTGTTAAAGCTGCAGAAGTGTGTTGTGTGGGGGAGCAGGGGAGCAGGAAGAGGTTGTTCTTCAGTCAAACAACAAAGACTACCTCTTTTGCATCTCTCCAGCCTGAAGATGCAGATCAAGACGAGGTAATT